GGAGGTTGCTGTGAGCTGTGATGCCACGGCACTCTACCCAGGGGGACAGCTTGAGGCTCTGTCTCCCCCCAAAAAAGTCTTTCTTTCTTGTAACTGTCCCTCTTTGGACTACATAGGCACATAACTACAATCATTTTCTCTGCCCTCTCCGTCTACCCTATTGACTTTTCACTTTCCATGTAAAACTTCAATAGATAACTTTCACCAGGCAGGCTACCTGGGAAAGCTAGAGATTGCTAAGACTAATGCTGAAGGCTTAAGAGTAACATTTCATAAATATTAAAGTATGTGTCCCAGTACCATGGCTCATATAATCCTACCATTTTTGGAGGCCATGGCAGGAGGACTGAAGGCAAGAAGCCTAGGCAACATAGTATGACTCTGTCTTTACAAAAATAAAATTGCCCCCATGTGGTGACATATACCTCTATTCCCAGTTACTCAGGAGAATGAGGTGGAAGGATCACTTGGGTCCAGAGGTTCAAGGTTGTAGTGAGCTACGAATGCATCACTGTGCTCCAGCCTGGACAACAGAACAAATACAGAAACAAGGCTCAAAACAGAGCAGAATCTTGGGATTATAAATTCTAAAGACTGATTTTTTTTTTTTTTTTTTTTTTTAAATCTTAAGACACTTTTACAGCCAAAATGCTCAGTCTTCCTTTCTTGTAACTGTCCCTCTTTGGACTACATAGGCACATAACTGCAATCATTTTCTCTGCTCAGATTCACTGAGCTCAGTCTAAAAGTAAATGCTTTTACTGTGCATTTCATTTAGACAAGTATATGTGAGATATGTATAAGTAAAATACATAGATAAAATGTCTTTCTAAAGTAGATTATATGCCTTTTTAAACTAAATGTACTAAACAAATTTAACTTGTTTTATCTTCATTGTAAACATGAATTTTAAGAGAAGGATGAGCCCTTTTAAGATTAAGGTTGTGTATGTCTACACTAAAATACCTTAAAGCTCATATTTCTTTCTTTCTTTCTTTTTTTTTTTGGTAGAGACAGAGTCTCATTCTATCACTCTCGGTAGAGTGCTATGGCGTCACAGCTCACAGCAGCCTCCAACTCCTGGGCTTAGGTGATTCTCTTGCCTCAGCCTCCCCAGTAGCTGGGACTACAGGCGCCTGCCACACGCCCAG